AAAAATAGGAAAAAAATTATTGAAGCACCTACAAAATTGTTCAATATCCCGAACACAGAAAGGGAAAAGTAGAAGAAAAATGTGACTAGTGACAAGAGACTGTAAGGACCACTGTCATTCTTCCTTTTATATTTGGCCTCCATGATAGAAGACAGATTAGGTAGATGAAAGAACTAACGAGTTGTTGTTAAAGTTTGTTCTTTATTAATATCAAGCAAAAAACAATGAAGAAGCCACATGATAAAGTTGTTAGCTATTTTTGTCTGCAAATTTGCATTTGCCATTCGCCCACAATTTAAAATATCCGAACTCGACTTGTAGATATGTGATGTATGTCATGTGTCAAAAATAAAAGAAGAGAAAAGATGAACATATTTCAATTTAACCTTACTTTTTACATTTGTAAATTTTACATGTGCATTTTTGCTAATGTAAATTGTATTTTCTGTTGTTAATATAATTAAAAGTTAAATGGATTACACAGTAGGAAGTTTAGCAGACCTTATATCTGGCCAAAATACCGAAAATAAGACCAAAGTTAAGAAAATTAAAATAAAAACGAATGAAGGTAAAAAGAAAAACTTGGCAGTAACTGAAAAAGTAAAAAATAAAAATAAAGAAAAGCTCGAGGAAAACGTGCAAATTAGTAAACCAAAAAAGCGTAAAATAAAAGATGTTTCATCTAAACATATAAAAAAGCCTAAAACTGATTTTAATTCCCTAGCTGATAGTGACGACGAAACTTCTGTTAATCAAACTGAAATTAATTCAAATGAACAAAATGAAGATGTGAAAATAAAAAAGGAAAAAATAGTGCCAACTCCAGAGGAATTAGCAAGAACTATATACGTAGGTAATGTACCAATAGATACACAGAAAAAGAAAATGAAACAGATTTTTAAGAAATATGGTCCTATTGAGTCCGTAAGGTTTAGAGGTATTCCTATAGCTAATCCAAAGATACCGAAAAAGATTGCCGTTATCAAAAAAGACTTCCATCCTGACCGAAACAGCGTTTATTGTTATATAAGATTTATCAATAAAGAAGATGCCCAAGAAGCTTTAGTAGAAAATGGAGTTTTGTTTCAAGAGCATCATCTGAGTGTCAGACCTTGCAGTATTAAAAAAGAAACTCCAGATGAATCTAAGGCAATATTTATCGGGAATTTGATTTTCAATGCTGAAGAGGAAGATCTATGGAAATTGTTTGAACCTTGTGGTCCAATTTCACATATTAGAATAATACGTGATACATATAGTGGTATGGGCAAAGGTTTCGCTTATGTTAACTTTAAAGATTCTGATGGAGTGCAACTAGCTCTAGAAATGGAAAATGTTAAACTAGGAAACAGAGAATTAAGAATTAAACCATCAAGTGCTTCTTCTGCAAAGAAAAACAAAAATAGGCCTATAGAAATAAATGCTAATCCACAATGGAGAAAAAAACACCATGCTAAACAAAATGAACATGAGAATGGCAATCAAAAAGGAAATCCTAATCCACAATGGAGAAAAAAACCCCATAATAAACAAAATAACCATGAAAATGGCAGTCGAAGAGTAGGTGCTAATCCACAATGGAGAAATAAACAATATAATAAACAAAATGAACATGAAAATGGCAATCAAACAGTAAATGCTAATCCACAATGGAGAAAAAAACATACTAAGCAAAATGAACATGAGAATGACAATACCAATGAATATAAAAGTAAATCAGAGAAACCTAATTATACACAAAATCAAAACTTCCAGGGAGCCAAATTCAGTACCAAAAAGAAAAACAAAGTAAATAAAGGGTTGCTGCAAAAGAAAAAAAATGTTAAAAAAATTGCTCCTATTTCGAAATAATAAAATGTCATTTGAAAGATAATTTTTAATTAAGTAAATAATAAATGTTATTTCTGTCACCCTGGTGTATTATTTATTATTTGGAAACAGTTCTTATTTTTTTTTTAATATTTAAATACATTGACTTACAAATTTTGTAAGTCTTTCGTTTGATCAAGAAGTGAAACTGAATGAGTTTTTCTATGTACCAAAGTAGCAGCGACCTTGACGTAAATGGGAACTTAATACACTGGGAAACGTATAATTCCAATCAATTTGTGTTGTTTGGTTCATGAGAATTAAACACATACTAAAGTTAAAATGACGGAAAATTCTTACTATGTTAATAGATAATGTTAATAATAATAATAATTTTAGTAATAAGTACTGTAGGTAGCTGAGAATGTATTTTGATTGCATGATCCTGATAGCAGCGACTTGGTTCCTCAGAGTGAGTCTGTCATATATATTACTGTTTTAATCCTTACTATAAAATTGTTTATATGTATATTATTTAATGGATTAAATCGATCACAGTCCGTATGGTTTGAAAAACAAAATAGTAATTTAATTTTTGGAAATAGTCGAAAAATCTGGGGGTACTTTGTAGAAGGTTGTTTTTCTACTTTATGGAATATATCTGATATTTACGCTTGGAGAAGAAAATTCTTTAAATAAAAATTGCTTGTAATGTTATTCTCTATAATTTTTGTCATTTAAAATGGTCCGTATTCGAGAAATTTGACAAAAAATGCAAGATTCTAATTTTTGGAATTGGAAAATGTATTTCTTATTTAGTTCATCCTTAGATTATTTTGATCAATAAGCAATAAGAAACATAGCAATAAAAAAATGTCTAGGCATCCTCAGACGTACCAAAAACCAGGATTGGCAGGTGGGTAATTTCACATTAAAGCGACATATATACATGTCTTTCTAATTTTTTCAAATAAATAATTATTTTATATCTTTAAAATGGTATCAGAAAGATACGAGAAATGAATTACTATCTTTAAAGAACAATAAGTTTTGTTTCCAAAGAAGCAAGATTATTTTGAAAAATTTCCCTGACACGTCCTCAAGCCATTCATATCTTAAAAACGGTCATAATATAAAAGTTATTTAAAATTACATTATCAACATTATAATACAGTTTTATCCAAGTATTTTCCATGTGCCAAGGCCCTTAAAAGCTCAAAAAAATTATTTATTTCGAAAATATAGCACATCAATTGAATGATCTAATCGGTTATCCATTTAACCAGAATAAAAAGCAAACATATCTTAGTTATTTTAAAATTATTTTAATAATAATTGTTAAAGAGAAATATCTAGGATCTAATTTACAACAATTTCAATAATTTAACAATCATATCGATTTTAGTATTAATATGAACATTACATAGATCAAAATAGAAATTATATGTTTAACATTTTCTGACAGCTACTGCGGAAAGTAGCATATTCGTACACGGGTGGAAAGTAAATTCTTATTCATACGCGTGTGATATAGGGCACTTTCCATAGTGTGATATGTGTCATTTTCCTAAGTGGTCGTAGGAAAATATCATAGCTTCGTTTGCATTTGGAGAATACTGTGGGTACAGCATTGTCAAATAATCGTCTTCTATAAGATGTACTGTTTGAAAAATATTTTTCTTCAAAATGTTGTTCACATATTCTATATAAAGATAAGCCACTAGGAACTGTTAAATTTAAATCTTCACGATTACAAGCTTTTAACCAGGGTTGAGCTCTACAAAATTATATTTATTAATACTTAATTTTTCTAAATAAATTTGAACAGTAACATATCAGTACATACCTTATGGCATCTCCTGGGAATTTAAACATTGTTAGCCCTTGTTCTGAAGTTGTAACACAACCACGAACAACGCAATGTATTTTTTTTCATTTTAATAAAAACCTTTAAACTATCTAATATATAATTACTACTTTTAAATAAACCTACTAAAATTTTCTCAAAACGCTAAGAATAATATACCAAACGTCATACACTACATGAACTGACAACTATATTTGACGTTAAACTACCTCTAAAACACTGAGAAAACTTGGCAATTTTTTGTCCACGAATCGCCCATTTAGTGTCGCTTCTTGGGTAGGTATTCTTTGGTTTAATTATATATTTATTAATTCAAAAGATGACTACAATAGCCACCAAATTCTGCATCGATTCATTTTACAAGGACGTCCAACATATCGTAAATAAAATGGAAAATCTGGTAACAAATAATATGAAACTAACAACCCATGCAACCCTACATAGGGATGGCAACTTTTATGAAATAATCGATTAATCAATCATTTGATTAATCAAATAGTAATAATCGATATTTGATTATATCAAAACAGAATAATCGATTAAAATAGTCAAATGATTAATAAATTAGGCACTAAAACATAAGTTATAAATTTTGTTATTTTTGTGATTAAAATTATTTCATAATTAAAATTCTAAAATTTTATTTGACATACCTAGTGGTGACCGAATAGCCACGACAGCTGAGGCGGTTGCAAGCGTGATGGATTCTTGGCTCCATTCTTTCTTGCAGCCCAGCTCTGTGGTTTTGAAGTTTTTCACAAAAATATACTTCTTTTGCATTTCATCCTGGGGCATGTCCCAGGTATCTTTAGTCCTGAAGCAAGTAGACTTTCGTCTGATTACTCCGTTCCTGATCATTCTCGTGTCCTTTTTGCCACATTCTCTTTCATCAAATGTAGAGGGGTGAGGTTTAAGATCACCTCCATTGCGGCCGTAGGACAGGTTCTCATTGCACCAGTAATGCAAACACAGCCTAGTCTTTGTACTATAGACCTGTAAGTGATGATTGGTCTCATTATTGCAGTATACATCCATCGCAGTATGTTTGGGTTACATCACCATCATTTGCCTGCAATGTTTCTGCATACCATTAGGTAGGGTGACCAGATTTATTTGCAGAAAAGTAGGACAACCAGGACAAAAAAAGCCTGATTTTTAATAAAAAAACCTGACATTTAGCAAATATATTTATATAAAAAAATGTAACAATTTTTACTGAGGTAAAAACTACTTATACTTTTCAGAAGAAACAATTTCTTTTAAAATATTGGGATTGTCCATCAAATAATTATAATATTCCTCACAAGACATTTTTAAATTAAATTTTAACATTATGAGGCTTTTTATTGATTCGATAGACAAACGGTTTCTTTCTTTGGTCCACTGCACTGCGATTAAAGAAAAAATTTGCTCGACGGCAGCATTATGTGCCGGAATAGCAAAGTACATTTTGTAGTTTATGTTAGTAGGTCGTAAAAAAAATATACTGTACCTCGGATGATTAAGCCTATAATATAGTGGAGAACACTAAAAATTAGTCAATAAATAAAATTTAAAATAAACATTTTAAAGTAGTTTTTATGTTAGTAGTGTTTATAAAAACATTTTTTTAAATTTTGAGATTTTTTAGTGGGTGGTAAAAAAAATCGTATATTTTATATTTACCCCTCAAATAACAAATTACGCAATATTATAAACATATTATACCCATGGTATTTATTTTCCCTTAATATTGGATTAAAAAAGACATTTGGCAAACGCGAAAAAATTCTGTCGCTTATTATTTGAACAGAGTAAGTCACGTGCTTTGTGGAGTAAGTGTTCTGTGACACAAATTACAAGATTACCGCATGTAATTTCCATGTCGCTTGTAACCGTAGATGCGACCCTTTTAAAATACCTATATATCATTTTAATATTCTTAAAAATAAACTGTACATCTTTATAAACTTTGTCTTTTATTTGTACTCATTCCATTCATTAGGGTATAAGCGCTCATTATTTGTACACCTATCGGACGGACGCATCGGGTTCGTATCGAATGTATCATCACGGAACACAAATACGAAAAGCCAAAATTGGGATGTCTACAAGAAAATTACGATTCTTCCAATGCTTCATCCCGTGCGTCCAATATACGAACAATGCGTGCTTACCTTTACGGAATATTTTTGCGTTTTTATAATAGTTTTATTTTTATCAAGTCAGCTATGACAGCCACTAAAAACGAATGACTTAATTACCTACTTTAAATAAAATGGTGGCTAATTAGTGAGTTATTTAAGAACAATTTAATTTTCAAGAAATAATATATTTATTTACCTTTTTTGTGTTAGAAACATGGAAATCAGTGCTCCCAGAAATATTAAGGTACGTAGTTTTTAATATAATTGGTGAATTCTGTCAAAAATGTACTGGTGTTGCTGAATCGGAATATTTTGACGTTGTGAAAAAATTATTGAACTTTTTTTTACTTTAGGTCCTAGGTATATTTAATGTAATGATTTCTTTTTTTGAAATTAGTCTGTCGCCGACTCACAATGAGATTTTAATAGAACCATAGGAGTGTTATTAAAAGCTTTTTGATAAATTGTCGTCTTGAACAAAATGTCCATGGTCACAAGTCACAACTCAATTGTATGACTAGTTTTATGTATTGATATTGAAGTTGAAGTTGCATTTTGGCTAATTTTTAAAAATTTCAACTATACTAGCTATGATTACAGATATTTTTCGAGAATAATGCTTTACTGATATAAAACAATATTATTTCCAGTATAATATTATGACTTACATTTTTACTTTTCTATATGTATACAGATATAAGGAAAGTATAGGTATCATGATTTTTTTCGACCTCGAGTTTTCGACGAATTTTTACGTTTTTAGGTCCCCTGAATCCGTTTTGACTATTTTCGCGATACACAGAAAAACACCAAATTTTAAACTTAAGCTTTATTCCATCGTCCAATGAACTAATTAGTATTTGGGCAGAGTCGGAACATCTAGGGGGGTACTTTATGGGCGGTCATTTTTATATTTTATGTAATATATCTGTTATTTACGTTTGGAGAAGAAAATTCTTCAAGTAAAAGTTACTTCTTATATTAATATCTATAGTTTTTGTTTCACACAAAATTTTCCTAAAATGGTCCGTATTCGAGAAATTTGACAAAATGAAAAAAAATATTTTTTTATAAAAATTGTTTAAATAAAAGTTGTTTGTAATA